ATCCCCCCCAGAAGCCAGGCCGCCCATGGCGCCGCCGCCGCTTCCGACTCCTCCGGAGACGGCTGCAGCAGCGGTCTGAGAGCGGGCCGGGCCAGGTCCCCGGCGTCTCCCGGGAGGAGGAGCCGGAGGGGGAGCCGCGGGGGGCGGGAGCCGGGCCGGCCCCACGGCGGCCCTGCCACAGCCAACTAGCAGGGGGCCGGGGCCGGGCCGCTCCCGGTCCGCCGCTACCGCCTTGGTCTCCGCCACCGTGAGGGAGACGGCCGCCGCCGCCGCTGCCTTCGTCACCTCAGCTTCCGCCCGCCGCCTCCCCTGCTGCTGCCTTAGTCTCAGGACCCGCTGCTGCTGCCGCTGCCGCTCCACGGCTTCCACCTCCCCCTTCCGCCGCTGTCTAGTGCGCAGGCGCGCGGGGCCCTAAGGTCCAAGACGCAGGCGTCAAGGCTGGCGGCTCAGCTCGCGCTCACCAGCGCAGCGCAGCTTCTACACTCCTTTCCGCTCTCTCACGCCCCCTCTTGGTCATTTACTTGCGCTTGCGCAGAATGAGATTGGCGCTCTCTCTTGGCCACCCCAGCACTCGACCGCCCCCGCATCTCTTTCTTTCCCCGCCCCACAACACGGGGAGCTAACCAATCATGGGGAGGGAGGGGTCGCGCTCACTTAGTCGGATTGGATTTCTGCTCCTCTGACCAGACGGTACTCACTTCACTGTGAGCTCCGCTAGGCTAGGACACAGTAGGGATGGGCATGCGCCTGAGTGATTGCTTGGTCACTTTCCTCACCTTTGTCTTTCTTGGTGCGCACGCTCCAAAGCATTAAAAAAAAAAAAAAAAAGTCGAAAAGCAAGAAAAGAAAAAAGAAAAAAAAAATGACCCAAATGACCCATGCGCATGCCCTGAGCTTTAGTGTCTATGCACAAATACATAGGGACTCTTTAAGAGTATCAGTAAGTCTGTGCAATAGGAAATTTGAGCGATGTTCCTGTCTTGAGAAGATTCTGATCATGCATATAATGAAAGGTTAAAGAACAATTTCAAGACAGTACCGAAAAGCAAATGCCACTTAGCACAAGATGTGATCATTTAAATGCTGAGGAACTTCAAAATAGAAAAATACATTGTTATGGAATAAAGATAGTAGAGGAATTCCTGAATTAAAATAAGAAATTTAGGTAGAAGTGAATTAAATAGCACAGAAATTAGAATCATGCTGTGTATTTAATCACTTACCAAATATTTAGTAAGCCCTCTCTGTGTTCCAATCACTGTGCTAAGTACTAGGGATACAAAGATAAGGTGTGGTCCCTGAACTCAAGGAACTTATATTGGGGGAGTGGAAAATAAATAAGCTTTAACAGATAAATTAACAAATTACATTTATAGGTTCAATTGAAGACACGATGGAGATAAAGACTCAGTATGGCCCTGACTGGTGTGGCTCACTCTGAAAACCAAAAGGTCACTGGTTTGACTTCCAATCAAGGCACACGTAGGCCAGATCCCCTGTTGAGGGTGTGGGAGAGGCAACTGATGGATGTTCCTCTCCCTCTCTTCCTCTTCCTGCCCCTCTCTCTAAAAATAAGTAAATAAAAATCTTTTTAAAAAGATTCAGTATATGGGTAATTCTACAAAGACTTTGGTCATTGTTATTCAGTGATCAGGACCATTGCAGAGAAGGAGAGGCAAATTTAGAGTTACGGGTTGAGTATGAGTTTGTTAAAGAAGTGCAAAAAGAGTATCCAGGGAAAACAAGGAACACAATAGTGAAGAAAAACAGAACACGTCCTTTGGAGAATGACAACTAATTTAAATAGTATTGGCTTAAAGTCGAGAGCTACAAGAAGCTAGATTGTGAAGGACTTTAGATCATATTATGGAAAATGGCTTTTACTTTACCAATGATGGAGAGCCATTGAAAGATTTGAAGCCATATGTATAATGTGATAACATTTGCATTTTATAACTGGAGAACAGATTGAAGAGTAAGTGTGGTCCTGAAGGCAGTGAAACCTGTAATGAGCTACTGCAGGTAAGAAAGATGCTGAGGACTTACTTGGGTTAAGGATACAAGTAGATTTGAGCCTACTTACAGAAATACAAATAAATTTGCAGTACAGTAATCAGGGATTGGTGATGTGGGTAGAGTGGGATGAAGTCAGAAGCCAATGAAGAAGTGGGACACAAGACAACTACCAGATTTCTACCTTGGGATGCTGAGTGACTGGAAATGTGAATCATGGAAGAGAGAACACAAGAAACAAAGGTTTGGAGGAGAAGGTGATGAGTTGAATGAAACTGGTTTTGCTTTTTGAGTATGAAGGGCCTGTAGACCATCCAGGTAGACATGCTCTCTTGTCTTTAACAAATTTCTTTCAGGTCCCAACTTAAATATACAAGGTGGAGCAAAAGTAGGTTTAGTTATTCATATGGAAAATACTACAACAATTAATAAATAATAATACAAGAATAAACTCTTGTGTTTCACAACTATAAGCCTACTTTTGTCCTACCCTGTAATTCTGTTAGCTTTCCACTATGCCCACACTAGGTTAAGTCTCCTGCCTCAAACTGGTAATGCATCTTACACTCCTTTGTGGCACTCATCATGGTTGTAACATCAATTTCTCTAGCATTGTTCTTCTGCCATCACACTATAAGTTCTGTGAGGTAAGAGACTGAGTTGACCAGATTCTATGTCTGTTCCCACCATTGTATGCCCAGTATCTAGCACAGTTCCTGGTACAGCAAATATTAACTGAATGAAGGAATCAATGTCTTGGAGGTCAATGGACATACAAGTGTGTGACCCAGGAAAGGTCTGGGCTAGAGAAAGGTAGATGTGGGTATTATCAATATATAGGTTATAGTTAAGGTTGCAAGAGAAAATTAAATCTCTAAAGAAAGGTGTAGACAGAGAAATGAATTGGGTCCAAGATGGAACTCTCAACTATGCCAGTATTTAAAGGGCTACTAAAAGAAGAGGTGCCTTCAAGAGTATCTTAGAAGGAACAGCAGTAACTAGGGTGGCAAATACAGTAAAAGATTCTATCAGCAGTGATTCTGCTAAGGGAGAGTTAGAGAAATTAAGTGGGGCAGATTATTAAGAGTTCTGGCTGTCAGACCAAGAAGTTTGAGTTTGGACTCTTAAGCAATAGGAGTGACTGACTTTTGTTTTAGAAATGCACTATCACCAACTTCCAAGCCTAGGGCACCAATGATTTGTCCTCTTCCTTGTCTGGTTTTTATTGTTCATTCAAGCAAAAGATGGGGGTGGAGAAAGGAGAGCAGCATTTCAGACATGGGAATGGCATGTGCAGAAGGCCCAAAGAGAATACAGTGCATTTTAGGCACTGAAGAGTTTAATATGGTTAAAACTCACAAAAAGGAAACATGGCTGGGTGGGGTGGTTTAAGCCAGACCTTGGAGGACCTGAAACATATTTAGCAGTTTGGACTTTCTGCTGAGAGTAGGGGAGCCATTACAGGATTTTCAGTCAACTTGCCTTCTGGTAAGATCACTGTAGCTGGAGTCTAATGGTTGTGTAACAGACCATCCTAGTTTGCCTTAGGACTACTAAATATATAGACAGATTGGGAGGAAGATACAAATATGGATAGATTCATACATGGTTAGATGGATACTGAAAATGGGGATTAGATAAAAGTTTACACACTCAGTGTTGAACCTTGCCCCAAACTTATTCACCAAGCTCTAAGAATACCTACAACCAGGCTTATATCCTCCAAGTGGAAGTTTGGAAAATTCTTCTCTTGAGAAATCTGATCAGACCAAAGAAAAAAAAATCTAATGATACTGACAGCAAGGTATCCTCAGGTAAATGGTCTAATGGATTACCTACAGTAAAGTCCACAAAAATATGCCACTATGCTTTCCACAGACATACAGATTTCAATCAGTACTTTAGTGTGCCAATCTTATATATGAGCAGAAACTGAGGATTGCCAGACACTTATGGAAACCCTCCAAAATGAAAGATAGAGGCCAAAACAAAAAGAAAAAGAAAAAAAAATAAGCCCTGGCTGGTGTGGCTCAGTGGACTGAGTGCAGGCCTGCAAACCTAAAGGTCAATGGGCACCTGCCCAGGTTGTAGGCCTGGGCACCTGCCCAGGTTGTAGGCCCAGGTTGTAGGCCACCCAGTGGAGGTGCGCAAGAGGCAACTACACACTGATGTTTCTCTCCTGCTCTTTCTACCTCCCTTCCCCCTCTCTAAAAATAAATAAGTAATAAAAAATGTTTTTACAAAGAGTTGGGGCAACCAGCTGTGTAGTCCAGTTGGTTTGAGCATCATCTCGCTATGTCAAGATTGTGGGTTTGCTCCCCAGTCAGGGACAATATAAGAATCAACCTATAGCCCTGGCTGGCGTAGCTCAGTGGATTGAGCGTGGGCTGCGAATGTCGCAGGTTCGATTCCCAGTCAGGGTACATGCCTGGGTTGCAGGCCATGACCCCCAGCAACCACACATTGATGTTTCTCTCTCTCTCAATCTCCTTCCCTTCCTTCTCTAAAAATAAATAAATAAAATAATTTTAAAAAGACTTGGTTAAAAAAAAGAATCAACCTATAAGTGCATAAATAAGTGGAGAAACAAATCAATTTTTTTTCTCTCTCTCCCTCTAAAACATCAATCAATAAATTTTAAAGTTGGGGCAAGTGGTCCTTCCCAGTGCCCCTGAAATGCTGCCACCAGATGGCAGCCTACTCCCCAGGCCCGCCTCAGTCTCGGAACCACCACAGATCATCCAGATTTTGGAGGCCTTTGTCTCGGTCCCAAAAGTGACCAACAAGCCTGACGTGCCAAGCTGGCCCCTGCTCTTCTTTTCTCTATATTCCACAGGCCAGAGCCAAGAGTCTGGCTCACTAAAAGTGAAAGTCATCTTAGGCCCATTTTTGCCCCCATGGGCCACATCCACTGACCAGAACACTGAAGAAGAATCATAGAGTGGCTGAAACATATCAAATCATCAATTCCTCTACCCAACACCACATCAGGACATAGGAATTATCATTTATTTTTCATCCTCAGTAAGCAGGCAGAAAGACTTTTCCTTCAGTTCTGCTCTTTCTGTACTTTGGGAACGTTCACCCCTAATTCTTCTTCCTTCAGGGAGGTCTTTAGAAATGGAGGTGGTCTCTAAGGAGTGCTCAAGCTGGTGAGGAAGGATAAACTCATATTGGGCGAGATCCCCGAAGGATGGCGTCACTTTTCTGCCAACTTCTTCATCACCTTTCCTTCGAAGCTAAAGGAGTGCCAGCCCTCTGCTTCAGTCAGATCTTGGGCTCCTAGAACCTTGTACAAGTCCATAGCCCTCTTGTTCCAGTCCAAGACTAACAGGCGGAACTGGGAGCAGCCCTTATCCAAGGCTACCTGTGGGAAAAGACATCACTAACTTTCCTGGGAAAGGCTTTCTCACCCTCCATTCAAGCTTGGGTGCCTCCCATACACCTTTGTCTTTCGAAGGCCCGGCTTGTAGCCTCATCACACTCCTCACCTCAGCAACTTTTTTGATTATTTTGGAACCAATCCCCTGACCTAATGTGGGGGGAAAGACAAAGAGAGGGATTGCGTGAGTTGCAGGGGATCAGAAAAAGCCATAGGCTGGGATTAGATGATAGGTTTATGGGTTGCTTTTCTCCCACCCCAGCCTCAGCCTCTGTTCTGTACCCCGGTATTCCGGCTTAACATAGATGTCTTCCAGATAAATGCTGCGTCCCTTCCATGTGCTGTAAATGAAGTAGTACAGCCCATAGCCCACCAGACAGGATCCTGAAAAAGAGAGAGAAAAGAGAGGTCAGGCCCCTGGGTGCCGTGGGGAGAGACCTCTGAGGCTGACTGGAGAGGAGACCGCTGAAGTGGATGTGTGTTCTTACCCTGTGGCTCCCCGGGGCTGGGAAGACTCTCTGCTACCAAACAGTAATAGAACGGATTCTCTCCAAAGCCGTCTGCCCTCAAGTCTGCACAGATGTAATTGTGACAAAGAGAGAAAGAGATCCCGGGTGTGGGCCCAGCCAGGAGCTACTGCCCGGGGAACCCATCCCTCGCTTCCTCCCAGCCTCTGTCAGGACCCAGGTGCTGAGCCCCCAACCTTCTTCAGAGATCTTCACCTGATCCGCGAGTTCCTCAAACTCAGCTAGTTCCTATGGCGTGGGGACAGAGACCAGATTAGCGCCGGAGCACCCCGCAGCTCCGGGAGTAGACCCCAGGGTGCACTCCTACCTCTGCTCCCACCTCCTCCTCCCTGCTCCCACCTCCTCCACACCCTCTGCCTCCTCCCGGTCCCCTCCAACCTCGACGCTCTGACCCTCTCTGAGACCCTGTTTTCTGGCCGCAAACTTAACCCGAATCAGCCTCAGAATATTTCCACAGTCTTCTTCCTTGGCCTCTCGGATCCGAACGAAAACCATCGCGATCCCCACGAAGTCCAGGACCCCCACTTCCTTTCTGCAGGACCTGGCGGAGGGCAACTGGGACCCTTTAAAAAGGCGTGCAAATGAGGACCGCTGAAAGCCAGAGGAGCGAAGCGGTAGCGAGAAGCACAGGCTGGAAAGCCGAAGCGCGATCCAGCTACCAAGGGGCCAAGGGAGAGGCGGTTCTTACTGCCCAGCGGTCCCTATATTCTGCCCCAGCAGTTGCTCACCAGCCAATCAGCTTGCAAGGTAGGCACGTCCCCGCCCCCTCCTCTGCCCCGCTCTTCTGGGCGGTGTCTCGTGACTGGGCGCAGGTCGAGGCCTGGCTGCTGAGGCTCCCTCGGTGTTCATGTGGAATGTTTAACCTGCTTCGGAGAAGCCCCACGGCTCAAAATACCTCGGGGTCCTTCGGTAACTGAAATGGGCGGTGGTTATCTGCTCTACCCTTTACTCTCACTTACCCATTCAAGCCTATCCACACTGTTAAGACTCCCAGCTTTTGGCTATGAGTTTTTGGGTGGCTCAAAGTGTTTCTTTTCTGGGGCCATTTGTATTTTTTTTTAAGATTTTAATTTATTTATTTTTAGAGAGAGGGGAAGGAAAGGAGAAAGAGGGAGAGAAAATCAACCTGTGGTTGCCTCTTATGTGCCCCCTACTGGGGACCTGGCCCACAACCCAGGCATGTGGTCTCCCTAGGTGTCCAACTGGTGACCCTTTAGTTCACAGGCCAGCACTCAATCCACGTAGCCATACCAGCCCTGGTACCATTTGTATTTTAAAATGGGTGAGGAAGAGGGGGGTGAATTTCTGTGGGTAAATGGTTAGGCCTTGTAATAAATGAAGAAAAGAAGATAATACAGTATCCACTAAATCACACTCAGAGACGATACTTCCCTATAAGGCAACCCTCCAAGGCCTGGGGAGGCACTCAGAGCATGTACCAGGCACTGTGCCTGCATTGTCTCAGTTAATCCTCATTATAGTAACAACATAAAGTAGGTACTATTGCCCTGGCTGGTGTAGCTCAGTGGTTGAGTGCCTGCCTGTGAATCAAAGGGTCATTGGTTCCACTCCCAGTCCAGAGCACATCCCTGAGTTGTGGGCCAGATCCCCAGTAAGGTGCACATAAGAGGCAACCACACATTGATTTTTCTTTCCCTCTATTTCTCCCTCCCTTCCCCGCTCTAAAAAATAAACAAAATCTTAAAAAAAAAAGTAGGCACTATTTTTCACATTTTACAGACAATGACATTAATGCACACCCACAAAGTGACCTGCCCAGGTCACTCATCTAGATATTTGGGCTTTGGTGCCTTGGCTCTAGTCCTTACTAGGATGCTTCTTGAGGAGCAGGACAGGACTGTCTAGACAGCCTTCCCAGGTGGGCAGAGGCATAGAGAACCCAGGTTAGGCTCTAGGGGAAGAGAGGGAAAATGGGGTGCCCTCTCTCAGCTCAAAGTCTCTCTGCAGTGGGGGAAGGTAGTGGAGGAACTCTGTCCCTCATCCCCATTTGTCCCCACAGAGGAGTGGTAGGGTCAGTGTCCCTGTCTCCTGGCCCCCCTTCTTCCCCCAGGGCAACCTTTAATCTTCCACTGACTGTGCAACCATGCTCAAGGCTGCCTGCTCTTACGCATTCACTCCAGAGTTGTCTGTGCCACAGAGAGGACTGCGGCTGATTATGGAGTACAGAGGTCCTCTGGCCAAATCATGTTGGCTGCTGCTACTGCTGCTGTTGCTGCCATCTCATAACCACCAGGGACAGGTTCTGAGACAGATTCCCCCCACCCAGGTGCAGTAGCGGGACAGGGCACTCAGCCCATGCGTTTAAATGAACTACATTTGTTTCTACCTTTTTCCTTTCTTTCCTCCTCTGACTCTGCAGCACTGCCTCTCTCTCTGTCTGTCTCTGAGATGTCCTTATTCCAGCTTGTTTATTTTCTTTCTTTGACAGGAGATCCAGGAGCCTCCAGCTGTGCACCTCAGCAATGGCCCAGGACAAGAGCCTGTCTCCATCATGACCTTTAATCTGACCAAGATCACAAAGTATAGAGTTGATCTAGTCCCTTGACCTAGTCCCCTGACCTTATCGTCTCCATGAGCTCTTCTCTCTTCCTTAGCTCACTGTCCTTCTCTCTCCCTTACCTCCCCACCTCCACAAGCCACACATTTACCCTCAAAGGGCATACTCCATACACATCCCTTTCTTCTGTGCCTTTCCAGAAGCTCTTCCTTCTTTGAGTTTCGCACCTGGGATCCAGAAGGAGTGATTTTTTATGGCGATACCAACCCAAAGGACGATTGGTTTGTGCTGGCACTTCGGGATGGCAGGCCTGAGATCCAACTATACAATCAGTGGGCCCAACTTACAGTGGGCGCTGGACCCCGGCTGGATAATGGGAGGTGGCACCAGGTAAGCCAGACCTGGTCCTAAGGGGAAGGGTATATTGAGCTGGTCTAAGGAAGAGGAACAGAATCAAGTTATTGGGTATCCCATTGCCATTGTCATCTCATTTAATCTCCAAAAAACCCCATTTTTTCAGAGGGGAATTCTAAAGCTCAGTCAGTATATAAGTGACAAGTCCTAAGTGAGCCAAGGATGCTAGTTGACTCCTCAGGTGCATGTTCTTTCCACTATACTTGGCTGAATCTGAAGAAATTAGTGCAGGCAGGCCCCAGAGGCCTCTGACTCTGCTTCTCCCCTCATTTCTGCAGGTAGAAGTGAAAATCCTTGAGGACTCAGTGCTGCTGGGGGTGGATGGGGAGCAGGTTCTGCGTCTGAGACAGGTTTCTGGGACTCTGACCAAAAAATCCCAGCCCATCATGAGGATTGCTCTCGGGGGACTGCTGTTTCCCGCCTCCAACCTCCGGTTGCCGGTAACTGCATTACAGGGGTGGGAACATAAGCCAAGCTGGTAAAGCACTGATGCCTTGGTGGCCATGAGGGTCTAAATCCACACTTGCAAGAAGAAGGGATGGGATAAGAGCTGCAAGGGAGAAACTGAATGCATGTGTCTTGGAGGGGAATAAACTGAAGGTGAGGAGGCTGGGACTGGGCCCTGATGTCCCAATTCCAACATCCCTGCATCTTCCCTCCCCTCCACGGGCTCCAGCTGGTACCTGCCCTGGATGCCTGCCTGCGCAGGGGTAACTGGCTGGACCAACAGGCTCAGATTTCAGCGTCTGCTCCTACTAGCCTCAGAAGCTGTGCTATAGAATCTCAACCTGGGATATTTTTCCCTCCAGGGACTCGTGCAGAATTCAACCTACAAGGTAAAGGCTATTTTTCCCCCTCCATAGCCAGCTCTGTGTTTGCCTTTTTCCAACTCCTTCCACCACTAGCCCCCTCCCCCCATGAATCCCCAGTTTTGAGGCCTCAGGAGGATAATTTCTCTCCTGCTCCCCAGATGTTCCCCAGCCTCATGTAGAGCCCTGGACCTTCTCTCTGGACCTGGGACTTCAGTTTGCAGCAGGCTCTGGCCACCTCCTTGCCCTTGGGACCCCAGAAAACCCTTCTTGGCTCAGCCTTCACCTCCAAGATCAAGTAAGAGGGGAGAAACATCTATTTGTTGTTCCACCTATTTTCATTGGTTGATTATTGTATACGCTTGGGCCAGGGATCAAACCCTTGGTGTATCCAGACAACCTTGGTGTATCCGGACAATGCTCCAACCAACTGAGCTACCCAGCCAGGGCCACAAACAGTTTTTATTTAGATTGTATGTTTACTTGGCATGTGTGTGGCTTTATGGGAGGTCAAGCCAGGAGAAATGAGGCAGGATTTAGGAGGTGGGAATGGCCAGTGGGAGGTGTAGCTAAGAGGCAGAATTAAAGCAGCTAGGAGTGGGGCCACAAGGAATAGATATGGTTCTTTCTTTCCTCCCCCACTTATGTCCCTGTTCCACACACTCTGCAGAAAGTGGTGCTATTTTATGGGTCAGGGCCAGGGCTGGATCTGCCCCTGGTCTTGGGACTCCCTCTCCAGCTGAAGCTGGATGAATCCAGGGTGCTCTTGAGTCATGGGCCAAAGAAGATCCTTGCTCAGCCTCCCATGGGCCTCAACTCCCTTCTCAACCTCTGGGCCCACCCCCAGGGGCGGCTCTTCCTGGGGACTTTGCCAGGTAAGTGAGAATGATGTTCAAGTTCCTCACCACACTATTGGAAACAGCTAAAGGCAGGGGAAAAGATAAGAAAAGAGTGCATTTATAGGGGAAGGAAACCTTTGGGAGCTCAGAAGAAAAGGCCACAAGAAGAGAGAGGATAGGGGGCAGTGGGAGGAATTGCTTTAAAAAACTGAGTTTGGAGAAAGGAAGAAAAGTGGGTAAGAGCTTCTGGAGCCAAACCACCCTAATGCCCTAATGCCCCTCCATGCCTCCTCTCTCTAGGAGAGACCTCTTCTGCCTCCTTTTGCTTGGATGGCCTGTGGGCACAAGACCAGAGGCTAGACTTGGATCGGGCCCTGAGCAGAAGCCAGGACGTCTGGACTCACAGCTGTCCCCAGCACCTAGGCAATGGCACTAACACCACCCATTAAATCCCCATCTAAGAACTCCCTTTGAATGTCACTCATTTATTTACTCAACAAATATTTATTGTACATGTGCAATGTACCAACCAGTCATGGTGCTGAGCACTGGGTTGTGTTGATGCGCAAAAACAACCATGGTTTCTGCCCTCTTGATGCTCACAGTCCCTTAGAGAAGGCATGTAGTCATCAAAAACTGACAAATAAGTGGATAACGGGAAACATTGATAATGCCATAAAGGAGGAGTCAGGGAGCTGAGAAAGTTTGTAGACCAGGAGCCTTAACTTAGACTGAGGATCAAAGAAGCATCTTGAGGAAGCAGTGAGGATCTCTTGAGGATCTCAGGCTGAGATTCCAGCAACAGTACTCATAAACATGCATGCCAGATATAGATCACTTTCTGGGAGCCAGGAGCCCACCTCCTTCTCCAGCAGATATCTATGCCCTTCCCTTTGGGACTTTAGCTTCCTCTCACTGAAGATGGTCCTGAGGGGTCAGGGGGAAAGGGAGGAGAAACTGAATTCTGTTGTCCTTTAAACTGGCCTGTGCTGTTCAAGGAAGGAGCAGCAGGGGGCATGAGAGAGTTATAGAGAGATGGGGGCAGGGGTTTTGGCAAAAGGGGTGGAGGTAGTAGGGAGAAAAAGGGAAGAGAGCAAAGGAAGCAAGCTGCCCCTATCTCCCCTAGTCTTGGTCCATTTGCTGCACTAGATTAAGCAAGAACCGGCTTGTGCTAGTCCTCACTGGGAAGAACAGACAGATTCAAGAACATCTCTGCCCTCAGAGAATATGGTGACTCAGCCCTCAGCTTCCAGACCTTTGGGGAATCCTGGTCCTCCAGCCCTTCCCAGGGGCCCCCTCCTGCCTCAGCCCCCTGCTCCCTGGAAAACCCTCATGCCCATGCCTCCAGCCCCTAGCCCCCAGCTCCCATTCTTCAATCCTCTTGGGAATATTTGTGTCCCCCTAGGGAGCCCTGGGACTGCAGCTCTGAGTCCCCACCTCTCATTCCTCTTCCGTTTCAAGAACTGTTAATCCTAAAAGGGGCTTCTGTCTGTCGTGAGTGGCACACGTAGGGCAGCTTGATTGCTCTACGTGAGAATCAACATCAAGAGATTTCAGAAGCGTAACTTTTTGGCATCTGGGAAGCTGGTAATCATTAGTCCTGGTACCCGTAAGAGAGAGAGAGAGAGAGAGAGAGAGAGAGAGAGAGAGAGAGAGAGAGAGAGAGAGGGAGAGAGAGAAAAAGGAAGAAAGGAAAGAAAGAACAAAATGTTAACCCATGGGCATCCAGTGTTCCAACCTCCTAGCTTCTTATAAAGATCTTCCTACCAGTAACACAGGCAACAGGGTGGGTTACTCACTGGACCTGCTGTCCCCTTCCACTGGCTTCAGCCAAGACCTGTGTGAGGTCAGGGTAAGGAAGCTCCAGCAGAGTGTCTAAGGTAGAAGATGCAAATCTAGGGTCCTAGGCCCCTCCTTGGACCCACCTAATCTCAAGTTTGTAGGATCTTACAGCTGCCTCCATGCAGTTACAGAGATTCAGTGGTTTTTATTTTTATTTATTATTTTTTAAAGATTTGATTTATTTATTTTTAGGGAGAGGGGAAAGGAGGGAGAAAGAGAGGGAAAGAAACATCAATGTGTGGTTGCCTCATGCCCACCAAGGAGGTCGTTCTGAATGGCAACTTCCTGACCTTGTGTGCTGAGGAATCTCCCAGGGGCTGGCTTTTCACTCCTCCCTCCAATGACCTGTTCAGGACACTATGCCCCCAACCTCTTTCTCCAGCTTGCCCTAGATTCCAAGATTCCTGATTACCATTCAGAGCTGTCTACACTCTTTCATTAAGACTGACTTTGCTTTGACACAGACTCTGCCAGGCCCCCACCAAGGGCACCTACAATGCCTTCCCAATGTCCCCTGCCTCTTCCACATTCCTAAAAACCTCTCTGGACCTTGTCAGCATATCCTGCAGCTTCCAGGCTTGGTTTACCCACTCATTTCACCCTCCCCTCTGCCTCTCTCTTCCCTTCTCTCCCTCCTGTCTTTCCCTCCCTCCTTCCCTTCCTCTGCCTCTGTTTGTCTTTCCTTCAATTAACATTTATTGACCACTGACAGTGTGCCACGCACTGTGTTGGGTAGTCCACAGGGACTGTAAAAATGAATAAGACTTGGTCCTGGCCCTGGAAAACCTGGGTCTTGTGAGACAGACAGATAGACGAACGTGTAGTGGAGATCTCTACTGAGTGCCAAGGAACCTGGTTCCAGATTTTATCAGGAATCATCAAAGAGATGAGTTTTTGAAAATGTGAACTTGAACAAATGATTAAATCTCTTTAAATTTCATTTTCCCCATCTATAAAATGGGGAAGTTGCCCTACTCATGGGCTTCCTGTGAGGATTTGATGCTATCATACAGGTCAAATGCTTAGCACAGTGCTGGGCATAAAGAAAGGGCTCAACACGTGAGAGATGTTGCTCTTGTTGATATCCTTAATCTTGTGCATATTTCTTGAAATACAAATCTGAACCTGCAGACTCATAGAGGAGGAGGAAGGGTGTGTGATGTGGCTGAACCAGGGACAGGCTAAGATGGAAGGAAGGCAGAGTGCGGACATTCCTTGGGCCTCATGGTGAGAGGCCTTGTACGTCCTTATGAGGAAGTGGAACTTGATCTATTCAGCGAAGGAACATCTGTTTTTCTTTCCTTTTTCTTTCTTTCTTATTCTAAATAAATTGTGGTGAAACACACATAACAAAATTTACCATCTTATCCCTGACGGGTGTAGCTCAGTGGATTGAGCATTGGCCTGTGAACCAAATGGTTGATGGTTTGATTCCCACTCAGGGCACATGCCTGGGTTGGGGGCCAGGTCTCTAGATGGGGACACATGAGGGGGAACCACATATTGACATTTCTCTCCCTCTCTTTCTCCTTCCATTCCCCTCTGTCTAAATAAATAAATAAAATCTTAAGAGACAAAACTTACCATTGTAACCATTTTTAACTGTACAGTTCAGTGGCATTATGTATATTGACAGTGTTGTGCAACTATTATCAACATCCCTCTCCAGAACACTTTTTTTATTTTCAAATTATGAAGGAAAATTTATTTAGAAACTTACAGAGGTAGTAGAAATGAGCCAGCTGGGCTTTGTAGGCTGAGGAAACAAGTTACAGAGGCAGAGGAAGGGCCCTTGCCCTTGGAGCTCAGGAGAAAGGCAAGTGTAACACGCTGGAATGGGAAGAAGAGGGGAAAGGGGAAGGCTCGCTCCCAAGAGGAACAGTTTGCCCATCTCCAGAACTCTTTATTTTGAAAAATTGAAACTCAGTACCCATTAAATAATACTCCCCATTTTCTGCCCCACCTGGTATGGCTCAGTGGATTGAGCATTGTCATTGAGAACTGAAAGGCTGCTGGTTTGATTCCCTAGTCAGGGCACATGCTTGGGTTGCAGGTCAGGTCCCCAGCTGCAGGAGTGCAGAAACAATCAATGTTTCTCACTCTCTTTCTCTCTCCCTTCCCCTCTCTCTGAAAATAAATAAATAAAATACTTTTAAAAAGTACTCCCCATTTTCCCTCTCCCCCTGCCTGTGTTTCAGAACTCTTCTTTCCTCTTCTAAGCCCCATGTTGTTGGGAACCCAGAGAGCTGAGCCCCTGGGATTGTATGGATTTGTGGAGGAGCATGATCAAGGGGCACAGACTTCATGACTGGCTCTAGATGTAGGAGAGAGGCTGTGGGGCTCTTATTCCCTTTCTGGAGGTGCTGGAGGGAGGGCAGTGATCAGGAAGAGTTTGGAGGTTTGTAATGACTGTACTGCCACCCCTTTCTTAGCTTTTTCTCCTGTGAACACCAGTGGGGCATTTAGAAGAGTGTTCCCTCCTCCCCTCTCCCCCACCCTCCTCATGGTGATCCTCACCTACAGGAGAAGAAAGCATAGACTGGAGTAAAGCTATCTCACTCTTACCCTAGAACCCACTAAATAAACAGAAGACATTTATTCATTCTTTTCCAAGTGGGCCGGGGTACATGTCAGAGACAGCTAGCAGCCTGGAGGCCATCCCAGGCCTGTGCTAGCCAAATTGTGCACCTTGAGGGTAGAGTCCAGGCCTTGTCTCTCCAGATTAAGGCTGTCCTATTTTTATGCTCCTTGCCTGGTGAAGGAAAGGACAAGTAGTTTTCCTGAGGTTTCTTGCAGAAAAAGCCCATTCCGTATTTAAGCCCATTCAGCAACCAGATATTATCTTCAGTAGCTCTGTGGGATGCTTGGGTATACAGGATATATGCAAAGTCTAAGATAAAGGCCTGCTCTCAAAGAGCTTGCAGTCTGGTTAAAAAGATAAAATACAGCCTTGGTTGGTGTGGCTCAGTTGGTTGGAGTATCGTCCTGTAGACTGAAAGGTCACAGGTTCGATTCCTGGTTGCAGGTTTGATCTCCAGTTGGGGCTGGTATAAGAAGGAAACTGATCGATGTTTCTCACATCTCTCTCTCTCCGCCTTCTTCACTCTCTAAAAGCAAAGGAAAAAAACCTTGGGTGAGGATCAAAAATAAAAGATAAAATACACACAAGAGTTTTCAACCCAGTTGATCAAAACAAAAACCTAAGCATTAGCCTTGATTCCTCTCTTCTGTCATCCTCATTGCTCATGTCACCCTATTTCCAAAGTGTATTCTGAACGCAGTCTCCTGTCTCCATCTGCGAACCTGCTACCCTGGTCCAAGCCATCCATGTCTTCCACTTGGACTGCTGCAAAGCCTTCCGAACTGGTATCATTTCACTCCTCTGCTTAAAACAATAGAATTGCTTCCATGATGGTTGGATTAAAACCCAAACTACTCCTTTTGGTCTACAAGGACCTGTATGATTTGGTCCCTGCCTACCTCTCAGGTCTCTTGCTTTATCTAATCTTGCCTTCCCTCATTGAAGTCCAGCCTTTGCACTTGCATTTCCCTTCTGGAAAGCTCTTCCCTGCATCTCCTCATGGCTCCTTTGAGTCACTCAGGTGTCACATTATAAGTCACCTTTTCAGTAAGGCCATCCCTGACCATCCAGGCACTGTTTTTTTTTCTGCATAATATTAACATTATTTTATTTGTTTGCTTGCTTTTATTGTTGATTGTTATGGGAGCCCCAAGAGCACAGAAACTAAACAGTGCCTGGTTCTAAGGAAAGGTTCATTGGATACACATGAAATGAATGAATGGGAGCTGGAGTGAACTCTGAAGGATGAACTGCCTTCCAGGATGAGGAAATAAAGTGGACAAAGGTGTGAAGGCAGGAGTAGGTGCAGCCTCTACTAGAAGTGGCTGGTTCAACTCCAGCAGAGAACTAGTTGGGGCCTAGTAGGAAAAGGGCTGAGGACACAGGCTAGCTCTAGATCGTGGAGGACTCTGAAGGTTAAACTGAAGAGTCAGGACTCCGTCCTGTGAGGTAACAGGAAGCTATTGAGCTGAGGAGTGGCCTAATTAAACCTGTATCTTTAAATTTTTTTTTTTTATTTAGTGATTTGAGGGGAGTGGAGAGAGAGAGAGAGAGAAGAGAACATTCATTTGTTGTTCCACTTAATTATGCATTCATTGGTTGATTCCTTTATATGCCCTAACTGGGGATGGAACCTACACCCTTGGCATATCTGGACAATGCTCTAACCAACTGAGCTACCTGGCCAGGGCCTAAAACAGTATATTGAGGAAATTAATCCAGAATCTGCTGCAGAAGGGACTGAAGCAGGGGCCAGCCACATAACTTTTAGGACCCACTACAAAATGAAAATGCAAGATCCCTTGTTCAAAAAGCAGGAAAAGGTGCAATTCAAGGTACTGAAATATAAGATGTTCCTTTCTTCCACAATTCTTTTCTCGACTTCCCATGGCATTCTTTTTTAAAGATTTTATTTATTTATTTTTAGAGGCAAGGGAAGGCAGTGAGAAAGAGAGGGAGAGAAACACTGATTTGTTGCCTCTCACATGCCCCCAACCAGGGACCTGGCCCAAAACCCAGACACGTGCCCTGACAGGGAACTGAACCAGTAACCTTTCAATTTGTGAGATGATGCCCAACCCACAGAGCCACATCGGGCAGGGCTCTCACAGCATTTTTATTTTTTATTTGTATTTATTTTTAGAGAGGGAGGAAGGGAGGGAGAAAGAGAGGGAGAGAAACATTCATGTGTGGTTGCCTCTCACACGACCCCCACCGGGGACCTGGCCTGCAACCCAGGCATGTGCCCTGACTGGGCATTGAACCAGCCACCCTTTGGTTCCCAGGCCAGCACTCAGTCCACTGAGCCACACTGGCCAGGGCTCTCATAGCATTTTTAATTTGTGATTTAATGTTCAGTTAACCTTTTATCTTCAGTTTATTGATGAATGTGGAAGGATGAAAAGAAAAGGAATTATGTGTTGCCTTAGCTTTTCCTTCTATGACATCATTGCCAGCAGAAGTAGTTGGCTAAATCAGGGAAGTAACATGACTGAGAAAGGATTTGATAGGATGTCTTGATCATCCATGTCTCCTAGAAGGCCATTACCTTCTTTCTGTTTTCAAAGCAAGTTCAAAGCAAATGGAAAGTTTGGCCCCTCAGCTTTCAGGCCCTCTACTTACTCAGGTGTAGACATAAGACACTTCCCTTGTATTCACTTTGAGTCTCCCTAAACTCCCATGCAAGGTGGGTCTACCAGAGTTCTGTGTTCATGGAGCTTCATGAATGGCCTATTGCTCATATTGCCTCTGTTTACATGTATGCTCCATTGTCCCATTGGACTTCATTTACAAAGCACCAGTTCAAAGATAAAATTGTGAAGAATTTCAAGATGGTGACAGTAGAGCACTAAACCAAGCACAAGGCCATTCTGAGCATGGGCCTTGTTTGAGCAGATCCCAAGCCCATGAAGTGAACCTTGGACTGGAAGGAGAGAGTTTGAGGGAGAGAGTTTGAGGGAGAGAATGACAGTCAAGAAAGGGAGCTGTTGTCTTGACCGGCATAGCTAAGGGGGTTGGGCATGGTCCTACAAAGGGAAAGGTCCCCAGTTCCATTCCTAGTCAGAGCATGTGCCTAGGTTGCAGGCCAGGTCCCCAGCTGGGGGCATGTGAGAGGCAACCGATAGATGTTTCTCTCGCACATCAATGTTTCTCTCCTTCTTTCTCCCCCCCTTCCCCTCTCTCTGAAAATAAAGAAGTAAAATCTTTTTTTTTTCTTTTAAAAAGGGGGAGTTTTTGAGGACTACACCCAAGGATTTAGGATGAGAGTTGAAAAAAGAAAAACTCCGTGGAAAAGTGACAAGATGTGAAGAGAGATGAAAAGAGATGATTATTCTTAACATGAGGTCTTTAGAGGCTCTTGTATCCCCCAACTAAACTGTGGGCCTCTTGAGCCCTGTGAGAACTTCGGTCTTACCTCTCCAGGGCCATGTTTCTCAAGTCTCTAATAGGTTTAGAGTGCAGGTTCATTGACTCAAGTGGGCCAATGAGGACAAGATTCAGACATGGGGTGGGAGGAGGCAGAACAACAGATCAGGCAGAGAAGCAGACCAGGCTCCAGGGCTGATGTCTCAGGGCAATGCTGGGGGCTGGGAAGGCTTCACTGACACAGGTAATGGGAAGACTGCAAGCTCTGAGGCTTGGAGAGAAACAGGTGAAGGGAGAAGGTCCTGTGGGATTAGAGAGGAAGGTGTTGGGGGAAACTGGTAGCAGCTTTCACACAGGTATTTCCCTCCAGTGGTGGCCTCTATCCATTTCTTTGTGGCCTGTTCTAACTTCCATCCTACTGGTCTCCCTGGCTGGTCTCTTCCATTTTTTTGGTTTCTGGCTCTTTCTCTATTCTGTTCACATTCTGCCCTGGCTCTTGAATCTTAGCCTCTTTCTAACTCCCTGCCTGGGTAGCCCGTCTCAGCGTGTATCTGCTTCCCTCTCAGTCTGTGTCTCTTTTGGGTAATCTTTCCTATCCTGTCCAGACACGCCCTCTATCCTCTACCCACCCCGAATCTAGTCCTGTACCTGGGACGGGCGTAGGGAAGAGACCTCCTAGTCCAGAAGAGGCGGTAGGGGGCGGGCCCAAGCCATCTATATTTGCATATGTATGAGGTTGCCCGGCCAGCAGCGGGAGGCGGGGCTTCTGGGGGTGGGAAGGGGGCGGGCACCGCCCCCCCCATAGCTGCTGACTATAAAGTCTGCGCTCCGCGACTGCCGGCCCCGCACTGCTGAGGAGCGGAGCCTTGGGCTGGGGGCTTCATATCCCTGGCTGACCCCAACTGCGCGTCCCCAACCCACTCTTGTGGCTGAAGCTACCACTGGTGTGGCGGTCTCTGCTTGGCGGATGAGTCTTCAGCGATCACTCACCCCCTCTCCACAGCCTCTTTGAACCCCGGATTTCGGGGCGGCCCCCTCCCCCACCTCTCTCTCTGCCTCTTTGCGCCCCGATTTGTTCTGTGTTTCTCTCGGGTTTCGCTGCCGTTTATTTTTGCATCCTTTTTCGTTTTGCTTTTAGGAGGTCAGGTGAAGCTGCACTTGTACCCCCTTCCCCTTTTTATCCTCCCGTGCTCTGACAACCCCCCTTTTCATCGCAGTCGGGGGCTCAGGATCGGTGCATCCCACGCTGCGTTGCCAGCAACCTGCAGCGCGTGGCCGTGCACCCCGGAATTTGCAGCAGTTGCATATCTGAAGGGGCTCTCCTTCGCCTCGGCTGCCTTTGCTCTCCGAGCATTCGGGTGCGTGGGAGGGGGGCTACAGCGTACCGCACCCCAGCTTCTCGGTAGTCCCCCGCCCCGCGCGGAACTCGTTCCCTGCCGCCAAGATGGTCATCCAGAAAGAGAAGAAGAGCTGCGGGCAGGTGGTTGAGGAGTGGAAGGAGTTCGTATGGAACCCGAGGACGCACCAGTTCATGGGCCGCACCGGGACCAGCTGGGGTACGCAGGGCGGCCGCGCAAGGGGTGTGGTGGGGGGGGGTCCTCTAGGCGACTCCCGGGTGGCACGAGGTCCCGCCCGTGTATCCCCAGCTTCCTTCCCCGGTTCCGGGCGTCCAAACCCCCAGCGATGCTCTGGGCTGGGAGGGGACAGAATCGCCGGTCTAATCTCCCTGGCTGGCGCTGCGGAGGCGGTGAAAGTAGGTCACTGCAGCTTTCCCGCCCCCTGCGGAGCCCCTTCCAGCGGGGGTCGCGGGCTTTGCCCGTGTGTCCGCGCCACGGCGCTCTCGCTCGGTCTCGGAGGCGGGTGCGATCCACAGAGTCGTCCTCCTTCCCTCCCAATGGCTCCCAACTAGCTAGCCAAGCCCATCTATTTTTAGTTCGTGCCCACCCCCTGGTCCCTGGGAACGTGCATGAGAGGGCGGGTCTTGGAGAGGTGGGGGTGTGTGTATGTTGGAGGGGGCAGTTCTTCATAGCGGAAGTTGTCTGCATCCCACTGTCAGTGTTTGGAACCATCTGTGGCTGCTCTGTGGGTGGGGGACTGTTGGGGAGAAATCACACTGTGAGGTTTTTGAGTCTGGATGTTCCTCTCAGATGTCGCAGGCAGAGGGAGGATTGGTCACTAGTGGTGAGAGGTGTACATCATCTGACCTAGTGTATCTTTGGGGTTGGAGTGGCAAGACTCAGGATGTGTGGAGGGAGTTGTGTCTGGTTGGGGGTCTGGTGCTGGGTATGCATGCAGGTGACAGGTGGAATCCTAACGAAAGGGAATGCCAAAATGGGAAGTCTGACCACAGGGGACACTGTGTGACACAATTTATAGTTCATCCACACTGATTGAAGGATGTCCCCATCAGCCCGCCCACCTGGGGCCCTTAAGGTGGGTCCAATGCAGTCCTTGCCCACAGGGAACCTGAGGTCCAGTCCCTGGGATTGGAGGGTCCGTGAGTCTGTGGAAAAATCTGAGGAGGCTTCATAAGGAAGTGTCTTCTGAGGTGGAAGGACTGGGGGTCCCCACTGGGTACTCACACTAGGTTGAGGAGTGACAAAGTGCTATCTCACATCCAGCAAAGACCTGCTCTCTGCTGGGAAGGCTGTGGGAGGTTCTGTCTTTACTCTGTGCCTCTGCCCTGGGTGTTGTGTGTGAGCGGGGAGGGGGGGGGGTGGGCAGTGGTGGTGGTGGTAGTGACTGTTGGAGGTTCTGGACAGCTGTGTCTGAGAGATTTTGTAGCTAGCTAGGAGGTGTGTTCAACGTTTGTCTGCTGTGGGGCACCAGGAGAGAGATTTTGCTATTTGAGTGTGAGGATCCACACTCTGAGGGATGGGATGAGAGTTTTGGTTGTGAACTGTAGCCAGTGCCAGCTTAAAAAGTCATTGTGGGGGCAGGGAGAGGGGTCTAAGGGGACTAAATGGTAATGGAATAAAAATATAATGAAGATTGAATTTTTTAAAAAAGTTGTTGTGCTGGACAACTTTAACATGAGTACCAACCAATGCAGCAGTAACAGATATGCTTTTTCAGGGCCATGAATAGTTGAAAACTCGGAATGTAATTTGAGGTAGAATGACTGTGGCCTATACTTGGGGTTGTTCCAGCAATGAGAGTTTAGGTCTCTTGTGGCCTCCACAAGGTCAGGCTTCACTGTGCCCTAGGACCAGGAGGGGGCTGGGAGTCATGGCTGGAAGCCAGACACAACTGCCTGTTTCCAGCTTGTCTCATTTTGCTTCCCTCTGGGAAGGCCCTAAGATGTCCCTGAGGCTCTGTGACCCTTCCCAATGCAGAACCTCTGAGTGTGTGGGATAGGCGAGGTTGTGACAGGAGAACCTGCTGACTCCGTTTCCCCCTCCCTAGCCTTTATCCTCCTCTTCTACCTCGTCTTCTATGGTTTCCTCACGGCCATGTTCACTCTCACCATGTGGGTGATGCTGCAGACTGTCTCTGACCATACCCCCAAGTACCAGGACCGACTGGCCACACCAGGTGAGTGATGAGGCTCTCCTGCCAGCCACCCTAACTGCTCTTGTGTCCCAAGCCCCCAGAAGGAACTCAAACTGAGAACTCAAAGTTCTCCGAGGTGTGGTTCTGATGTTCCATCACCATGTGCTGGGAAGTTCTTGAAGTCTGACTCCCCATTTCCCATAGCTGAGAGCTGTGTGATCTGGGAAGATCTTTTTCTCATGAAGAAGATCTCAGATCTTAACCCCATTCCTCACCCTAGTGTTCCTTATGTCTGTCTTCCATCCTCTGTGTGTGATCTCACATCTTATATACACCCTGACTCCTGCCCTTGTCTGGCTATAGGCCTGATGATTCGTCCCAAGACTGAGAACCTTGATGTCATTGTCAACGTCAGTGACACTGAAAGCTGGGACCAGCATGTTCAGAAGCTCAACAAGTTCTTGGAGTGTGAGTGTGGGGCTGGAGATGTGGTGTGTAGGACCTTGGGCAGGGGATTGGAGACCCTAGAAGTAGAACATCAGGCCATGCTCTCTCCCTACCTCCTTAGCTTACAATGACTCCATCCAAGCCCAAAAGAATGATGTCTGCCGCCCTGGGCGCTATTATGAACAGCCAGATAATGGAGTCCTCAACTACCCGAAACGTGCCTGCCAGTTCAACCGGACCCAGCTGGGTGACTGCTCCGGCATTGGGGATCCCACCCACTATGGTTATAGCACTGGGCAGCCCTGTGTCTTCATCAAGATGAACCGGGTAACCATGACCTTGGTCCCCAGGGAGAATGGAGGAGGGAGCTGGGGCCACCATCTACTGGCAGTTGCTTCCTTTCACAGGGGCTAATGGGCATTAGAGAGATTTTTGGATATTTGAGTGGCTTAGAGAACAAGAAAGATGAGGCCACTGAAGGCTGAGATCCATGGCTAGAGGGCTAGATACTTGTGTCTTAGACAAGTTCTTTCTCCGACCCTCACCACTCTCCTCTCTCCAGGTCATCAACTTCTATGCAGGAGCAAACCAGAGTATGAATGTTACCTGTGTGGGGAAGGTGAGTTTTTTGGGCCTTGTCCATCTGCCCACGGTTTGTATGCCACAGTTTCCATGCAATTCACTCATCTCTCCCAATCTTCTCTGCTCCCAGAGGCCCCGCCACTATAGAGATAAGGGGGTAAGAATGGGCTCTAATATGGCTGGGACTGCAAGGGGCTCCTGCCTCTCCTGCTCCTCTCTAGAAGCAGAAGCCTGCTCTTGTATGGATAGACAGCCTCCTCCCTGACTCTATCCACACCCTGGCTTCTGGCTTTTCTTCTAAACCTTTCCACCTTCTTCTCTATTTGCTGATAACCAAGTCTTCTGCTCTCCCTTCCATATCTTGTCTGTCCCTCAGTTCTTTTTAGGTATCTGGTAGCTGCTAATCTGTTAGCACCATCTGCCACCACTAAGTTGTCCTTAGAACCCCACTCCCTCCACCTCTGTCATATCTAGAAACATCCTGCCAGCTCTTCCCTCACCCCTTCTCCTTGCTTCCTATGGAGCTCTTTCTCATTTAGCTGTTCTCTCTTGGCTGTGCTCCAGAAACCAGTTCCTGAGGATGGGGTAAGAACTTGAGGTGGGAGTAGAATAAGAGGCTTCAGTATCATTAGCACTCTTCAGGACTTCCCAGTCTGTGGAGAGAGAGACAGGGTACCTCCTCCTGCTCACACACAAACACACAGACTCCAGCTCAAGGGAAACAGATTTGGACAGAATATTTGGGGCCCCAAAACAAAGGGAAGTCTGGCAAGCTTCTGGGTTCCTTCCATCCCTCACAAACCCTCTGTTCTACCCTTCTGTGCCCTGACAGCGAGATGAAGATGCTGAGAATCTGGGCAGCTTTGTCATGTTCCCTGCCAATGGCAACATTGACCTCATGTACTTCCCCTACTATGGCAAAAAGTTCCACGTAAGTCCTACGGGAGGCCCCAGGGTGGGAGTTTCTCCAGGGGGAGTGTGATCTTCAGGGAGGAGGCCGAGTCACCTTCTTTCCTTCTCCTTCTTTGGCCCAGGTGAACTACACACAGCCCCTGGTGGCTGTGAAGTTCCTGAATGTGACCCCCAATGTGGAGGTGAACGTGGAATGCCGAATCAATGCAGCCAACATTGCCACAGATGATGAGCGAGACAAGTTCGCTGGCCGAGTGGCCTTCAAACTCCGCATCAACAAAACCTGAGACCCCTTTCTTCAACCCCCCCACCTCTTTCCTATGGATGCTTCTGGAATGTCCCTTTTCCTTTACTTCTGAACCCAGCCTGATTAATGCACATTGTGATTCCCCGCTTTCACACATCTTCCACCATCTCTCGCAACCCTAGTTCGGTCAGAGACAGGGAGATGGGATCCCAAGGAGGTCACAGAGGAGCTGCCTGGTTTAGCTGTGAGTGGGGTGTCCCCACAGCTACCCTCCTATCCCCTGAGAGATACAGAAAATGCCTGCCCACCTGCACACCCACGCAGCCACACACACACACACACACACACACACACACATTTTACCCCATAGCTTCCAGGCAGGAATGTGGTACTCGGTTCTTCCATTCCTAAATGCAGCTGCTGCTACCTTTCTTTGCCTCCTGCGCTTTTCCCCTCCCCTCATACACTGTTGCTGTCTTGGTGGCTCCTCCGGTGGATCTGTCTCCACCTCTTCTCCATCCCCACTCTCTTTCCAGGATGGGTACCTTAGGATGAGTTCTTTTCCCCCTATTTCCTGGCACATTCCTCTTCTCATCCTCAGGTGCCTGTGTGAGCTGGGAGTGAGGGTCTGGAAGAGAAGTCTGTGCTGGTTTTTCTTGAAAATTCTCTTCCTGGTCTCTGTCACCCAAATAGGCACTCCTAAGAGGGGCAACGTTGACTTAGGCTGAATATCCACTTTGTGTTTGTCGATGGCTCCCTTACTCCTGTCCGGTTTCCCAGAATATCCTTCAAATTCCACTTCCCAGGAGCCTTGGGGGAGGGGCAGCCATTTTGGATCTGTCCCCAGTGGCCACCTTGGCAATGTCAGCAGGCTATGGGACGTTCCACCTCTTTCCCCTGGCCCAGATCTGCTCCCACCATCCTCTCTGGCTTCTCTTAGCAATCTATCAACTAATCACTGACTTTTTCCTTTCTTCCAGATACCAGCCTGAAACTTGCAAATACCCCCTCATTTTAGGCCCTGAATTTCCTGGCTTCATCCTCAGATCCCTCTGCATTTTTAAACCACCTCCTAGTGATCATAGAATTGTAAAAGAGGGACCTCCTGTATTCTTGAGTTACAGAGGTGTTTGAATTTTCTCCTCCAGTGCCCTTCACTTCCTCACCTATCTAATCTCACTTTTCTTCTTTGTGCTGCAGCCTCCACAACTACCCACTGATGGACACTTCCCTTTTTTCTCTTGTCGGATCTGAGTTTCTTCCCTTTGGGTCCCCATGTTTTCCTGCACTCCCCTCGCCCCAGTGGTCTCTCTGCAGTTATTTAATGCCTGTGTCAGATCTATTGTAAAAAGAGGATTAAGTACAATAAAATGAGAGCAATTATATATATAAATATATATCATACACAGAGCCCTGTGTGTGGGTGGTTCCTTTCTGAGCATTTGGTAGAGCCCTGGGAAGGAGATGGAGGGGGATTCGGCAGATTCGGAGTTACCCAGGCCGTGAGCTGCTTCCCAGATTTGACCTCTGCTGTGCAGTGCTTCAGCAGCTACCTCATACGTCACTCCTTTACCTATAGTATCTTGAGACCACACACTGTAAGAAACAGGAAACCTATGTCTCTTTGTACAGCCATACTTATGAAGTGCCTACTATGTGCATTCTAGGCACTGTGAGGACACTTTTGAAAGAGGCAGAGTTCCTGTCCCCAAGGAAGCTTCCCAGTTTAACAGGAGAGGTGAGGAGCACACGAGGAACTCATACCAGGTAGACCTAAATTTGCCTCGAGGAGGAGAGAAAGCTGGTGAGGACAAAATTCAGAGTAGTCAACTACTTCCTGTTGGGGGCTTCAAATAGAAGGTTTCTTAGAGGATTAAAGAATGAGACAGTTTGGGGTGAGAATAGCATCAGCAAATGTCTAAAAAGGAGAAAAATTGACTAGTGAGAGAGATCTCAGAACAGTATGAACCTTATGATCTTAATTTGGTGTTAAAAAGAAAAGTACACATATAAGCATAGAAAAAGGGATGGATGGGTCTATACAATGTTTATTGAGGTGTATGGGAGGGGTTCACAACTAAATTTTTTGTTGGGGCTTATTTGCTTTTGTCTGCGGTGAGTTGGTCTTAGTATTTGTTTTGAAAAATAGCTTTGCCCTGGCTGGATAGCTCAGTTGGTTAGAGCATTATCCTGATATATCCAGGTTGTGGGTTCCAAAAATCAACCAATGAATACATAAATAATTGGAACAACGAATTGATGTTTCTTTCTCCTTTCCTTTCTTTCTCAAACCAATCGATAAATAAAAATTTAAAAAGACAGCTTTATTACACATACATACACATATGCAGTTTTATCCTGAATGCATAGTTGAAACAACATGGATCACTGGGTTTTGGTCATTGTTGTTGCAAAATCGAATCGTTATGCACTTTTGTGCATCTCACTTTCTTCACTTATTGAATTTGTCACTATGTGGCTCTGACCGGATGGCTCAGTTGGAGTGTTGACCTGAACATCAAAAAGTTGTGGGTTTGATTCCTCGTCGGGGCACTACCTAGGTTGCAGGTTCGATTCCTTGTCAGAGTGCATGCGAGAGTCAACTGATAGAGGTTTCTCTCCCTCCCTTCCCTTCTCACTAAAAATCAATAACCATGTCCTCAGGTGAGGATAAAAATAAGAAAATAAAATCAATTAAAAAACATATCCTCATATCCTCAGGTGAGAATTAAGAAAAAAATTGTCACTACTTCACCTGATAGGGCTCTAATAGTTTTTATTTTTTATAATTTTTCTCAAATGGCTGTATATTTTTTCTGTTGGTTCATTCTTTTCTTAATTTGTTAAAGCTCCTTGACAGCTGAAGATAGTAACCATTTTCCACATTGTAAAATTCTCCCTGATTGTCTGCCTCTTGAGGTTGCCTTTTATTGTTAAAATGTTAGGCTTTCAGATAGTCAAATATTGGTTATTTTTCAGTTTCTGGGTTTCCAGTCACTAGAATATAGTTATTATTTTCTAGATTTTCTTTTGGGAGGGGGTAGGGCAGGATTTTAATTTCATTTAAATTTTACATTCACTTTATCTGGTTTATTATTATTATTATTTTTAAATCCTTACCCAAGGTTATGTTTATTGATTTTAGAGAGGGGTGTGGAGAGAGAGAGAAACATTGATTGGTTGCCTCCCATATGCGCCCCAAACACAGATTGAATGTGCAACCTGGGTATGTTTCCTGACCATGAACTGAACCACAACCTTTAGGTGTACTGGAGGACGCTCCAAACAACCGGACCACCCAGCCAGGGCTAGTTTATTTCTCTTTTGTGTGTAAATAAGAAGTCCAATTTTATTTTTCCAGTTCTGTCAGCTTCATTTAAAAAAAAATCCATCCTGGCTGGTGTGGCTCAGTGGATTGAGTGCCTGCTGCAGAGGCTCGCCAGTTATACTCCCAGTCAGGGCATGTGCCTGGGCTGCAGGCAGGGTACCCTGTGGGGGCATGTGGGAGGCAACTGCACATCGGTGTTTCTCTCCCTCTCTTTCTCCCTCCCTTCCCCTCTCTGTAAAAATAAATAAAGAAAATCTTTTTAAAAGTCCATAATTTATTCCCATTGAATTGAAATATCAGCTTTGCTTATTTGGTAAAATTTCCTATATATTGAGACCTACCTCTGGGTTCACTGCTTGCTGCTTGTGGATTGTTTACTACTCCATATACCAAGCTATATTGATCTAATTCCAGTTGTTTCATGTTTTTCGATATCCGAGAAACACTGATTTGCTGTTCCACTTATTTTTGCATTCACTGGCTGCTCCTTGTATCTGCCTTGACCAGGGATTGAACCTGTAACCTTGGTGAATTGGGATGATGCTTTAACCAACTAAACTACCCAGTCACGGCTCCCCCATTCTCTTTAAAAAACTATTGGTTATTCTTAGACACTTTACAGAAACATAAAACTAGTTGGGATTCTAATTGGAATTGCATTCTATCTTTATTTTAGAATTGACTTTTAGGATATATCCAGTTTTCCCATCTAAGAGCATGGTATCTTGTTTGGAGCTTGGTTTTTGTCCTTAAGTAAATAAGGTCTTATAGATTTCTTCATATAGGTCCTGTGCCATTCTTTTGCTTGGCAGTCTCATTAAATGTATTCCTGAATGTTTTATTGCTTTCATAATTTTGAATAGAATATTTTCAGTGCTTTTGCTTTAAAATATTTTTCCATCATCTGTTTTCCTTCCTAAATTCTCTTAATTCCATCTCATCTCTATCATGTCTTGAGTTTTTAGACACTTGTGATCTAAAAAGTAGTTTCTTTTTTTCAAATCAGTATTATCTTTTTGAGTGCCCTAAAACCATTGTCAATGGGCATCCCTGTTTACTTCTTGATACTAATTGAAATTATAGGATACTTACTGGTATTCCACTACTGTTTTTAAAAGAATGGCTGCTGAAATTTAGTCAAGTTCCTTTCAGCATCTTTTGATATAATCATATTTTCTTCATTAATTTGTTGATATGAGTTACGGTGATAGATTCCCTATTTAATTAACCTTTAGCTCCTGGAATAACTCCTACTTCGTTAGTATGTACACATATATTTTTATGGTTACCCCTACCTGTCTTTTTTTTTTACTCTTAAAATTGAATTTATTAGGTAATATTGGTTAATAAAATTAAATAGGTTTCATGTGTACATCACCTGTATATTGTGCTCACCACCTCAAGTCTCCTTCCATCACTGTTTATGTTCCCTATACCCTCTTTCCACCTCCCTGCCTCTTTCCCTCTGATAATCACCATACTATTATCTGTCTGTTTTTTCTTAATACCTTCATCTTTTTATCCACTCATACTTTACCAGGTTTTAATATTAATAAAGTCAATTATTTTGCATGAATTGGAAATTTCACTCTTCCTATGGACCAGGGTAATTTAAATACCATTGGATCACTTGGTCCTTGCCCTCTCCACCCCCAACTCTCTGAACCAAGAGCTTGAGTTTTACTTTTTGAAAAAAGCCCGATTTTGGATCTATTCTTTTAATTAAGTTTGCTTTCTGTTTCAGTCATTTGTGTCTTTAGTTTTTAGGATGCATGCTAGATTTGTTTTTTTAAATAATGAAAACACATACAGTTACACATTTTCCTCAGAGCGCTTTTGTTGGTGTCTCGTAGATTTGGGGATCCTGTGTTCCTGAAAATGGGGAAACAAGTTTTCTAACTTATTTCAAACCTTCATGGGGCAGGGCTTGGGCTCTTGAGACCAGGGGCCATGTCTGCCATGGGGCCTCAGGACTCAAATGATATTGGGCACAGAGTAAGGCACTAGTGAATATCTGACTAGGATAGACAAATGAACAGTGAAGTGAGCAGGAGGGAACCAGAGGTTAGGGACTCACGAAAAGTCACACAGCTTATAGCAGGGCTGGCTTGAATATCCAGGCCTCATAGTGTTCAGTCCAGTAATCTATTAGCTCACTAAGGGACCACCAGTCTATTTCTGAAATATAGCAGAAGTGAAGCAGAGCTAGGGACACATTCTAGGGAAATATGAGGAAAGGGTGCTGGAGCTGATCAGAAAGGGAGCTTCAAGGTGACCCTCTACAGGAATGAGAGTTTGCCAAAGGCCGGGTGGGTGGAGAGACATGGTGACTCTGGGTCTCCTGGGAAGTGTTTGGCACCTTCAACAATTAGAGAAAAATGGTGGTTTTGAGGCCAGGGTGGCTGGTGGCTTTACAGCCATCTGGGATGCACAGGGCAAGCCAGAGGACTCCCACTGGCACTTTTATGCCTGGTTGGTAGGCTGAGAGGACAATGGCCCAGAAACCCCTCCAGACCTTAGCACTTCTCCCGCTGCCTCACGGAGGAGGCAGGACAAACAATCTGGCCACCCCCAAAGCACTGGCCAGGGCAGCAGTGGGTGGTGGGGAAAGCTTGCCCCCAGCCCCCTTCCTGGGAGCCTATAGCACTGAAGGACAGGATTGGGTGGGGGTGGGGGGGCTTCTGAGCTCTCCACTCTAACCCAAGAAGCCCTTTGAAAGGTTTTCCTGGCAGAGTTTAAAGCTTCAATTCATTCAACTGCCTGGCATGAGGCCCAGGATGAGGGAATGCTGGGAAGGCCCCAGCTCCACATCCCAGCCTTCACCTTAGCTGCCCCCACTTCCTGGGGACCTGGGCTGGCAGACCATCCCCTGCTTGCTCTGCTCATCTTCATCTTCATCGAATAGCACCCACCCTCTTTCTCCTCAGGAACTCAGGTATCCTGCCTCTTCCCTGTGGAGCAGATGGCTCCCCAGAGGCTCAGGCTTGCTAAATCATTTAAATCCCATAATCCTTGGTGAGTGGCTGACAAGGGGGCAATAGCCCAATCCTAGAAACAGGGGCAGGAGAGAATCTTGTGCCAG